AGAAGTTCTGTAAACCATAGGAAGGAGAAGCGTTTTTGCTATTTATTGTCAATGATTAACCTGTTATATGGTATCCGGCTAACGAATATTGTTGAATAAATAAATGTTAATTACAGAGGAAGAAGGAAAAGAAAGCAAGTAGGGTAAGGAAGGAGGCTTGGGAGAGACTGAGGAGGAAGTTATCTAGCTTTGGACAAATGCTGCCAGAGGCATGGCTGTTGGTATTGCTGCATTCTCAGCTGCCATCACTCCACATTGCCTGTGGATGGAAACTGACCTCCTTCTTATGATGCACAGTACTCCCTGTAACCTGGCCCTGCTTCATATATCTTCCACTCAGACACACTAGCCCAAAGCCTGGAGCCATCCCAAGGGAGGTATGGTAAAACAAGAACCATAATGTGCCTTCTTCAAGAAACAAAACAGAACCAAAAATACACGTCATGTTTTGAAAGGGATATAGTTTTTTAGGGGGTCATATGTTATTGTATGGACCGAACACTGTGTAGCAGAAGCCGGTAGGGAATATAATAGATCTGCATATAGCAATCCTTTGCTGGGCCTGGCCATGTGGTATACATCTGCAATTCCAGTACTTGGGAGCCTGGGACACAAGGATTATCATGAGTTTGAGGCCAGCTCAGGGGACATAGGAAGTTCTAGGCTAGCCTGAGATACATGAGACTTTGTCTTAAAAAAAAAAAACAAAAAAGGGCCAGGCGTGGTGGCGCACGCCTTTGATCCCAGCACTTGGGAGGCAGAGGCAGGTGGATCTCTGTGAGATCAAGGCCAGCCTGGTCTACATAGTGAATCCAGGACAGCTGGGGCTACAGGGAGACCCTATCTCAAAAGAGACCAAAAAAATAAATAAAAAAGACCGAAAAAAAAAAAACCCAAACCAAACAACAACAAAAACAAAAACAGGCTGGAGAGATGGTTCAGCAGTTAAAAGCACTGGCTGCTCTTGTGGAGGACTGGGGTTCAATTCCCAGCAAGCACATGGGGACTAACAACCATCTGTAACTCTACTTCCAGGGAATCTGATGCCTTCTTCTGACCTCTGAGGGCATTTGGGTACACTTACACAAATGCACGCAAAACACTCATATACATAAAATAAAAATAAATAAAACATCAAAAAAAAACCCATAACAACAAAAATACAACTCTGCTGACTCTGGAGGAAAAAGCATAATATTTTAGAGCTAAAAATCCTCTCCATAAGTGAATATCGGGAGTGGAAGAGTTATCAGTACAAAACATTTTAAATAAAAATTAGGGGTGATAATTAAAACTACATCTGATGAACGGTGTGACTCTCAGCTTGTAATTTTTCTAAGAAAGCCAAAGGCATAAAGTGAATATCTTCAGTGTTTTGTTGTGTTTTGTTGTGTCGTTGCTCCGTTTTCTACCATTAGTTGACCTCTTCAGGGTGAGCTTTTTCATGTATACATGCAAGAGAGCATTACAGACGAATCTGTACTAGAGTATGGAAGATACGTCTTATATTCCAACAAAATATAGGCGGGAGAGAGCAAGGAACCTGCTATAGTGAAGGGTGCTGAAGAAAAAGGTCTTTTGCCATGATAAAAAAGACACGGATCAGTAAGTGTGTAACGAATGGATGAACGAGGAGAGAGGTGGCAGTGGTCACTCAGCAACGACTGTGAGGTCTTAGTGTGTGCTGCCACACCCAACCCTCACATCCATCCTTTCATAATTCCTGACTTGCAGAAGGGGAATCCAGCTTGTCCAAGGTCTTAAGGCTAACAAAGGACTGAGACCCAGGGAAGGCAGGCTTTAAGGCCCTTGCCTTCTGCGTGCATTAGTTGCACCCTATGCCCTCTAGTGGCAGAACTGGAATAGGTACCCGGTACAGCAAATAGTAAAAGCTGCAGGCTATGTGCCCTTGTGGGGTTTGTGGAACCTGAGGAAGCAACCAGGCATATCTCTGTTCTACCCCCACCCCAAATGAACGACCCTCCTCCAAAGAAAAAAAAGAAAAGGCAACACAAGGCTAGAACCAGATAGTCTAGAAGGTGCATTTGATGGAATAGTCTCCTACTAAAAGGAGAACTGTTTTCAATCCTGGGAATTTAGAAGCTCCTCACCACCCCACTGCCCCTTCCAAGTTTCCAGAGCTTTCCTTGGCCTTCATTTAATGTTTCCCATCTTGACTCAACCCTCTTAACACTGGCACTCTGTCTTCCAACTCCTGGGTGGACACTGGGGGCCACTGTAGTGATTGGTGTTGTCTATCACAGTGACAGGTGACCTGCCACTGCCCCACCCCTGCTGTTTTGACTCAGGGCGGTGCTCTGTTTCATGCAGCCTATGGACAATGTTTACTGAGAAGTTGCTGCTCTAGTTTCTCTTCTTTGCCTCCTGACCCCCCTCAAACATCTGGCAACTTATTCCTCCCTAGAAACACTGCAGGCTCTGTAGCCAGTGGACAAGCAAACCTAGTCTCCCCCCTGCCTGTGTGGATCTCATTCTCTCTGCTTCTCATTCCCTCTCTTCTCTCTCTCTCCCATGTCCCCCACTGTCTCTGAATCTATCTCACACACATATAGAAGCACATACATAGCTGGTGTAAAAACATGTATAAAAGTACATCAAAGGACATTGGACTACAACACAAAGGGAAGACACAAACACCACGTAGTGAGCAGGGCAAAGAGGCTGGAGCTGTCTGAGGAGAGAACGCCTGGCTGTGGATGAGGAGCCTGCATTTGTTACTGTTCTCACTGCTGTGACCAAACACCTGACAGGAATAATTTAAAGCAGGAAGGGTTTGTTTGGGCTCATGGTTTCAAAAGGTTCCGCCCCACGCACGAGGGCAGAATATCATGTTGCCAGAGTGTGTGACAGAGGAGCTTGTTCACCTCATGGCAGACCAGAAGCAGAGAAAAGGGGTTACAGGAAAGGACTAGGCAAGACACAGTCCCTAGTGTCTCCAGCTCTGTCATACCTCTTGCTCTTCCCCACCTCCCAATAACGCTGTGCTGTTATGAATCCATCAAGAGATGAATCCATTGATTAGTCAGAGCTCTCAGAATCTAGTCACTTCTCCAGAGCCCATCAGCTGGTCACCCAGCCCTGAATACATAAAACCATGGGGGGTAGTTCATATTCAAACCATAACAGCACCTTTCTCTAAATCACACAGATAGACCACAGTGAAGAATGCTGACCACCCTAGATCCATAGAACCTCTAGCTTCTCGGAGAAAAAGGCTAGATCCTACAGATCACAAGAGCAAGAGACGGAAATGAGGCATCTGTGTTTATTCGTGAAAAGGGTATGTTTTTAAATGCCTCACTTCTCCCAGACCAGGATTAACTCTAAGGCACTTGCTACCAGTTGGCTCTGTGCATGTGGGAGGTGTCCTTGCAGGCTCTGACAACTGAATTCATCTCCTCTGCCAGGCCAAGAGCGCAGCAGTTTCTCCAATGCACAGCAGGCACCAACCTTGAAATCAGGCCTTCCACGTTGGAATAAGGTGATAGAGACCGAGAGACACCAAAGCAAAACCTGTCTGGGAGGCTTCTCATAAGAATGCGCGCGCGTGTGTGTGTGTGTGTGTGTGTGTGTGTGTGTGTGTTTTCTCATAAGAATGTGTGTGTGTGTGTGTGTAGCAGCAAAGTCAGGGCAGGACAGAACTTCCTGAATCCCTTAGGGTGTGAAAAGTCAGTATGAATAACAGGCAGTTTCCCCAGTGCCCAGTGCTATACTCCAGGCAGCAGGTGTTTCTGTGGGCCTTCTGTCTCTGTGATGAATACTTAAGAAAAATAATTTTCAAAGAGGGAAGATTTATTTTGGTTCATTGGCTCAGAGGTTTTGGTCCACAGTTGGCTGGCTGGTTTCTGGGCCTGTGGTAAGGTAGAGCATCATAGCAGAAGCCCAAGGAGGGACAGGGCTGGGATTGTTTGGAGGCTCAAGAGCAGGCTGGGGAGCAGTGCAAAGGCCCCACTAGCCCCTCCCATGCATCTAGGCTGTCTTTATATTAGCAAGTACAGAGCATCCCTTCTTTTGAATGGGGGCAGAAAGTGAGAAGTCTGAATAAGAGGACAGTGTGATTCGAAAGTGTTACAGTCAGAGTCTTCTCAATCCTAGCACCAAGGGAAGAGGTCACTGCAGCCCATGTGCACACCATCGGAGGTGTATTAGGTGGAGAGAACATTGTTCCCAAAGGCAATGGGACCTGGGACACAAGAGGGAATTGGTCATTAGATGAGCCAATCTTTCAGAAGTCTCAAGATTTTTTTCTCTCCTGCTTTTAATTCTAGTTCATTTCTATCAATTACGTGTGTGAAGAATAGAAAAATATTAGAATAATCTAATTTATAATAATAAGGGAAGGGTTGGAAGAAGTCAAGAATCATTAGGTTATTTATATAAATGGCAGTAAGTTAAAGACAAACATGCACACAGTCAGCAAGATGGCTTAGTGGGTAAGGGTGTTTGCTGTCATGCGTGACTATCTGAGTTAGTCCCCAAGAAAGAACTCAAATGGTAGGTGAGAACTAACTCCTGACTCCCACAAGTTCCTTTCTGATCTCCACACACCTGTCCTGGCACATGTGCATCCACATACACTCACAAACAATAAGTAAATAAAACAATTCACTTAAAAAACATGTTCAGAATTTCATTTTGAACAGGGTCTCACTATGCAGCCCTGGCTGGCCTGGAACTCACTATGTAGACCACACTGGCTTTGCACTCAGAGAGATCTGCCTGCCTCTACCTCCCCAGCGCTGGGATTAAGTGCACCACCACACCCAGGCAAAATTTTACTTTTGTAGGAAAAGGTATGCATACCTCAGTATATATGAACACACATGTACGTGTGCATATATGTGTGTGCCAAGAGAAGACAAGAGAAAGTGATTGCCAGGCGCTGGCTGGATGTCAGGGAAGCTGTTTTCTAGGTTTGTTTTCTTCCTTTGACCTATGTTTAGTGATTTGTCAGTAAAAGGAATGTACTACTCATGGAATGACACAAAACAATTTAAATTTATTGCCAAATACTTAGTTTGTACGGGCCAATCTTGTTTGTCAACATTTTTCTCATATTTTATACTATAAACAATGTGGAGCCCAGACTGTTGGCAGAAAAATGAACAAGGTATGACAGAATGCAACGAGAAATTGTGAACTTTAGCCCAAAGCATATGTGTGTGCAAAGCAGTTGCCAATGTCCCAAGATATAATGAATCTCTAACCCGTCAAAGGATATTGACTAGAACGTGTTGGTGGGGGACTTTGGGTTTTGACCAAATTCTCATTCGAAACTGTCAAATGACTTGTTTTAGGGGTACAGATGGGAGCTCTGAGTGTGGAGGGGGCAGTTCTAGTTTCCTTTCTGTTGCTATGGTAAAACACTGACCAAACAACAACTTAGGGGAGAAAGGATTTATCTGGCTCACACTAGAAGGTCACTGTCCATTACCAATGGAAGTCAGGGCAGGAACCCACGCAGGAACGTGAAGGCAGGCCTGTTGATTCCACATAGCATCAGCTGGCACTGGGAACTCACAGCCAGGAAGAACAGCAGAAACCATGGAGGAATGCTGCTTGTGGGCAGAAGTAAAGGAAGGCAATGTAAGAAGCTGGGAAAAACGGTCTGTTTCTTCAGTACATGAGTGCCCTCCCCCATTCTCAAAGAGCTGTCTGTCTACTAGGACTTTCCATGGGAATGGAACTTTTGTTTAAATGAGCCACCATGGCTGCCACAAGCCACAGCCACATGTATGTATGTAGACTCAACTAGGATGGTCTGACAATGGAGGAATTAACTGCTTAATTTTATTGAAGTATTAAAAGCCATGCAGTTCGGGCTTCCACATTGGACAGTGTGGGTTTAGAACACAGAAGCCCTGTGTTCTAGGTACATTGGGAGATGTCAGTGGGGTTAGTAACCAACAGGCTGCATTTGCTTCAGACCTCAGAATGAAAGGCGAGCAAATAACGGTTGACCCAGACATTCACATGCAGTAGGCCGTCACCTGGGTCTTGCTGCAAGCTGGTCTGGGCCTGAGCTGCCAACATGAGTCCCGTGGAGCTCTGGCTCCACCTGCAGGCCCTAGTGAGCATTGCACCCACTTTCCACTCCACCTGCCCCACCAAAGGCTTCCTCTTCAAACCAGGACAGCCTCACTCACAGAAAGGGGTTAGCAATAGCCTACTCAAAGTCACATTAGAACAGAACAGAGAGGCCTCAAAAATTATTTTAACACTCCTGTTCCTGTTTTATAGTAGAGAAACCAAGGCTAAGAGAGGTGACTGGTGTGTCTGGCCATTTTGCCCAGGGCACTGACCTGCTGAGTCCACAGACGGGTTAGGGGCATGTGGGCAAGTAAGAAAAACAGGAACCATCTGGTCAAGGTCAGGCCTTCCTTCTACCCTCTTTATAGCTGCACAGTAATTTCTTAAAATTGCTGCTGAGTAAGGTGGGTGTTTGGCAAACAGAACGAAGCTGCTGTCCATTAACACAGACCTTTGGGTTACTTACCGACAAAAAACATAATTTCTGCTTTGCTATTAAAGATTTTATGTAATATAATTCTATTTTTAAAAACCTCTCCCTTAAGCTGGGTATGGTGGCACACGCCTTTAATCCCAGCACTTGGGAGGCAGAGGCAGACAGATCTCTGTGAGATCAAGGCCAGCCTGGTCTCTCCATAGATAGTTCCAGGCCAGCTGGGGCTAGAGGGAGACCCTGTCTCAAAAAAGGACCAAAAAGAAAAAAAAACAAAAACCCCAAACCCAAAATAAACTAAAACTCTTCCTAGGTCAGCTGGGACTACAGGGAGACCCTGTCTCAAAAAGATTTTTTAAAAAAAAGTAAATAGGGGACTGGAAAGATGGCTCAGTAGTTGAGAGCACTGGCTGTTCTTAAGAGGATCTGGGTTTGGTTCCCAGCATCCACATGACAGCTAACAACCACCTGTAACTCCAGTTCCAGGGAATCTGACACCCTCTTCTGACCTCCTCCGGCACTGCATGACATGGTTACACTTACATACGCTCATACACAGAAAATAAAAATAATAAAACTTTTAAAAAGTAAAAGAAAAAGCTGGGCCTGGTAATACAGGCCTTTAATCCCAGAATGCAAGAGGCAGCAGTGGGCAAATCTCTGTGAATTCAATCAGGGTTTATTATATAGTGAGTTCAAGGTCAGTCAGGGCTACATAGTGAGACCATGTCTCAAAAAATCCCTGTCCCAAAAAGATCCCCCCCCCCAAAAAAAGTAAATTAAAAAAAATATATCGTGTATATATCAGGCTTAGCTCTCATAAACAAAGTGCCTGGAGCCTATTGCTTGATTGGATGGACACCATTTATCCATTTGGAGGTAGCTATTAACAAAGTTCAGTACTTCATCAAGCAGCGAGTTCTCTCCTTCATGTCCTGCTTCATTAACCTTTTCCCCTGTAACTCAGCATGGTGTGGTGGATACATAGCCAAGCCAGATGGACCAAGCATCAGTAGGCTACACTGTGAGGAATAACTAAGGTATGTATGGCAGACTTTGTCCAAGGTCAGAAGTTCAGGATTTTCGTATGGTCATATCTGTCACACTAGTCTTGAAGCGAGAGCTGCTCCTGACACTTCGAAAGTGACTGGATAGCAAATTGTTGGGCTCCACTGAAATGTGTCAGGTAATTAGTTACAAAAAAACCACTGGAAACAAACCATCCCAATGTTCCAGAAACTAGGGAGCAGACACAGCAGTGAGTAGTCTAGGACCCTCTGGGCTTCTATCTCACTTTCTTTTGGTATCTTTATGAGACAGGGTCTCCCTGCAGCCCCAGCTTGTCTGGAACTTTCTATGTAGACCAGGTCTGCTCTTGATCTCACAGAGATCCCCCTGCCTCTGCCTCACAAGTGCTGGGATTAAAGGCGTGAACCACCACGCCTGGCTTCTACCTCACTTTTAGCAACATGGAAGCACAGGGCCCTGCTCTCAGTATTAGAGCCAACAGATATTTCCAAGCAGGAAGACATCCAGCAACATTCTCTGTTGCTTTCTGTCATTGTCCCTTGAGACAGGGTCTCTGACTGAACTAGAAGCTTGATGTTTTGACTAGCTTGCCTAGCCCGTCTCTGCTCCCCCACTGCTGGGGTAACTGGCATGCATGGCCATGCCCAGCTTTTACGTGGCTGTTGAGGATTTGAACTCAGGTCTTCATGCTTGTACAGCAAGAGCTCTCATCTACTGAATCATCTCCCTAGCCTGACACCTACCTTTTAATATGGAAAATATAACTAAAATTCCACTCATCTCAAAGCCTGAACAAAGGAAAAATTAATCCTGTGGGACTCTTGTCCCATGTCTGACCAGCAAAGCAAGAGTGACTGGTTGTTTCAATGTTTTGTTACTTAGAAAATTGTGCAATTATTCAAACCACCACTGAGGAAAATGGGATTTGCAGCTAAAAATACTGGGTGGAAATGCCAAATTTGCCATTTAATGACTGGTAGATTAGATTACTTTTCTAATTTACCTCTTCCTTCTACCATTTCCGTAAGAAAATAATTTACTGTCCTGAACTTTGGGCTTGGCCATATGACTTGTTTTGGTCAATGCAACGGTGGTGAGATATGGCACTTCCCCTAGCTCCCACAACCACGTTCAAACCTAATCCATACAACAGATCTTTCATTCTCTGCCACTCAGGAATCTGCTTCTCTTGATTGCAAATGGACACATTAGGGCTGAATCTCTTCTTTTAACCTGTAAGTTCACACAAATTCTCCAGACAACAGACTTAAGTCATTTCTGAAGGAGCAAGACACATGTAAGATTAAACTTTCTTGGAGTCCTAATTATGTGTGAACACTGCTGTTTCCTGTGCATAATCTCATTTAATGAAGTGGCTGACTCCCCTCTCCAGTCTGGTTTGCTCCTGTCCTCACACCAGCTGGTGATTCAGAGTTGCCTGTTAGCTGCATCCATTCTCCAAGCTCTCATGACCATTTGGGAGTGTGGACTAGAGCCCACTGCCATCTGGGTGACTCTGGGTGGCCTGCGTTGACTACATGACCTGACACACATGGCACTTACTAAGGGCTTGATTCATCTTCTTCATTCAGCTGCAATGTGTCCAATGGCACAGGCTCAGACCCTGCTCACCACCACACGTCCCTTCTAAGAAAGAAATCTGGTACCAAATCTTTGCTCAGTGACTGAGTTTTTCTAGTATGGCCAGGTCTCAGATAGGGATTGCTTCAATTCCTTCTGTTGGCCCCCTGGATGCCAATGTTCCCAGTTGCTCTGTGCCACTCCTTGTGACTCCCTTGGCTGGCACTGGACACTATTCAGGCAGACCTTCCCCCATCATACATCTGCCACTTGCCAAATACAACCTTGGAGGTTGCCTTTCTTGAACACAGCCCACTGTGCCTGTCTGTGCCCTTGTAATCTTCAGGGGCAGCCAGGCTGGCTTCCTGGCAATTGTCCTCCCCCAGGGCCCAGGTGTTAGGACAAAACTGCCAGGTTTATGTGCAAGTGACACAGGGGTAATTGGGGTCCCCTCTTAGGGCTCTTATTCTCATTAGTAAAATAATTTAAGAATAGAGGCTGGAGAGATGGCTCAGTGGTTAAGAACACTGGCTGTTCTTGCAGAAGACCCAGGTTCAAATCCCAGCACCCACATGGCAGCTAACAATTATCTGTAACTCCAGTTCCAGGGGATCCAACACCCTCTTCTGTCCTCCGCAGGCACTGCACAACACGGGTGCACTTACATACGTGCAGGCAATACACACATACAAATAAAATAAAATATTTAGAAAAAATAATTTAATAGACTTGAATGAAAGCTTTAGGACAATCTTATCAGAGTTGAAAGAAAAACCCTCATGGCAAGCAAGTTCTAAATCTCAGCAGTTGCCCTGGAGAATGGGAAGAAAAAGAAAAGGAAGAAGACCATGTCCCCAATCCCATTTAAGCCACATGGAGGTCACACACATGGCAGACTAGCAGGACACATGCCAGGGAAGGCAGCTTTAGAAAGAGTAAAAAAAACCCAAAATGTTGGGGACTCCCTAAGTGTTAAGAAAATCATGCTTAGAAAAAAGAGAGAGAAAAGGAGAGGTTATGCTTCAGAAAAGCTGGCCGACTTACACAAAGTTGCATTTCTGTGGAAGTTTTGGGGCAGGGTTCTGGGTGGGAAAAGTCTGCTATGGTATTAATGCTGATTATCCCGCCATCTCTTTGGCATGGTTTAGGGTGCACCTGCCATAAGGAGTGGTCTCTTGGCCAGACGCATGACCTGGTTCAACTGGAATGTTAGGTCTACATTCAGGCCAGGAATTTTATTCTCTTGACCAGTTTCTTCTTAATGGGCCTTTATTGTTATTGTAACATAAGGGTCAAAGTTAGTTGAGCCTCTACCAAAAATACTGAAATGTCATTGAGTGGACTTTCCATAATAACTATGCCATTTTGTACTTGGCTGACTGGGAGCTTCCCAGAATTCTCTCTATGGGCTCCTATTACATTTAGCTAAGGATTTCCAAGGCTTGGAAAGGCAGCAGGGAGGCAGTAGCCCTGACTCTGAAAAGCACTGAGAGATGGTAGGGACTTACAGAGGTACTGGTTAGACATCTTCCTCTTTTCTGCTGAGCATTCAGCATTTCCCCGACTGTGGGCTCGGACAGTAGCAGCTCCAAACTCCCGAAGGCCAGGCTGCGAACTCACAGAAGCAGCACAACAACCCCTTCAGCCTTCTCAGCCCTCTGTGTCTCCCACTGCAGCAGCTGGGCAGTCTTCATTATCACCACCCAGCAAGCTTGAATTTGCTCACCTGTATCGGGGATGGGGGAGGACAGGCTAGAGACTTTCCTTTCCAAAGTTTTGAGCCAAAGTCTGAAGACCAAAATGCAATTTTCTTTTTAAAAATGCTAATTTGCAGGCTGTCAGTGGGCAAAGGCAGTGACAACCTAGGACCCACACGGTAAAAGGAGAGAACTCCGCAAGTTGTCCTTTGACCTCCACATACACAAAATAGATGCAATAAAAACATTTAAAATCTATTTTTTTGTGTGTTTTGCCTGCGTGTATGTAAGTGCACCCATGCCGTACAATGCTTGTGGAAGCTAGAAGAGGGTGTTAGATCCCCTAGAATGGGAGTTACAGATGGTTGTTAGCTGCCATCTGGGTGGGAACTGAACTGGTCCTCTGCAAGAGCAGCCCATATTCTTAACAACAAGAGCCATTTTTTCGGCCCCCCCGCCACATTTTTTTTAGGGTGTATGCATGTATTGCCTGCATGTAGGTAAGTGCACCTGTGTCAGGCAATAACCGTGGAGGGCAGAAGAGACTGTCGGATCCCCTGGAGCTGGAGTTACAGATAGTTATTAGCTGCCATGTGGATGCTGGGATTCGAACCCGGGTCTTCTGCAAGAATAGTCAGTGTTCTTAACAGCTGAGCCACCTCTCCAGCCCACCCTTCCCTAGAATTTGACCAACATTCATTCAGAACTCTACTGAAAGCTAATTTCTTCTGAATTCTGGGCTTCCTCTGCAAATGTTTCTACAGGTTATGCACACCATCCCACCTCCTGTTCCTGTTCTGAGCATTTTGGGGAGCAAGGTGATGGCATTTTTGAATGTTAATTCCTTTTATATGTCCTTTGTTTTAAACTCTTTAACAAGGAGTAATTTGTTAAATGGTCTCCCAGTCAAATACGAAATCATGAGCTATTTGGTCAATCACTTCCACCTGCAGAAGCTGTAGATTTTCAAAGGTGTCTAATTAGCAACCAGAGCATGTGCTAGGAAATGGAATTGTTTGTTTAAATAAAGGACAGGGGCAGAGGCCACCCAGCCTGGGGCCTTCCTTCTGTGTGTATCAGCCCTGCCTGGCTGCTCCCAGCTGGCTCTTTGTAAAGGTCCACTGCCAGCCTAGACTGCGTGTAGCCTTTGGAGCCCTCACATCTTGTTCCATGGTGCAAAGCAGGTGTGACCATTAAAAAACAACTAGTTGGGTCCTGCTTATCTAGAGATTACAAATTATGTGCTTTTCTGGCCCAGTGGTTCTGAGTCTCGGCTGCACATCACGATCTCCAGGGGCACTTCAAACAAACTGGATGTCCAGACTGCATCCAGCTTTAACCACACTCTGAGATAGCAGTTATAAAAGCATCCCAGGTGATTGTACATGTGCCACCGCATTAGAAAAGGTGGTTCTCAAACTATGGGATCAGAATGAGCTGGAGAGTTCGTTAAAATTCAGGATGCTGAGCCCCATCCCACACTCCCTAGTGATGAAAGTGGCACTTCTGGTCACTGTAAAGATGCTGCCAATGCTCAACAGTGTGTATTCCTTTCGGAGTCAAAACAGCCTTATTCCTGCACATGCATTGCAGAGTGCCTGTCATTAGCTCGGCTTCTTCATTCTCACAGGCTGCTTCATTCTTGCCCTTTGGTGCCACACTGACACCTGTCTTTACCATAGCCAGGTTCTCACACATATGCAAGATTTGCTCATCAGCCCTAAGTATCTGCTTTATTTCCCCCAGCAATAAGCTCCCCTTTGCCTTACAGACACTGGACTCAAAGCTATTTTTCCCCCCAACTAACAATAAAAACCCAGTCCAAATCCAAGTTGTCAAACTGTAGAAAAAAATAGCAATTTCTCTGTTTAAGAATACTACTGTCTTGGGGGCTGGAGAGATGGCTCAGCAGTTAAGAGTACTGACTGCTTTTGCAGAGGACCCAGGTTCAATTCCCAGCACCCACATGGCAGCTATGAACTGTCCTTAACTCCAGTTCCAGGAGAATCCGAAGCCCTCTTCTGACCTCGGCAGCATTGCACAACATGGGTGCACTCACATACATGCAGGCAATACACTTATACACATAAATTAAAAATAATCAACTACTTAAAAAAAAAGAATACTACTGTCTTAGGAGACAGAGAACACTGTCTATAAAGTGTAAGGAATAATTTAGCAACCTAGGAATTGGCTTAGTTTGGGCCAAGCACACTCCTGACAAGCCTGACAGCCTGAGACCCTTCACTACATGTACTATGAACACACACTCCTCTCCGAATAATGCACCCTGCAAACTGTTAGCAACCTAGGTCTCCCACTACACACCCCACTCCAAACAATGGAGTAAGTTTCTCCTCCCCTTAACAACTAAAAAACTTAGATTCTATTAAATCATATTCTAGACATTCAGGTATGAAAGTAGGGAGGTCAATTTGGCCTGAACTAGGTTTGGGTACATGCAAACTATATCCTCTAAGTGACCTTTTAGGGAGAATCCTCTATTTACCATCTTATGACTATATATGATTGGGTGCACGCACCATTAAAATCAAATGCATTTGGGGGACATGATCAGTAGAGAAATGGTTATACAATTTAATCTGTCAATCAAAAGAGAACCACCTAAACTACATCCTAGCCAAACTCCTCCTTCCTTTAGCCCACATAAGAAAGCCCAAGCAACGACCTAGGGCCCTGGAGGACCTTCCCTCCTGTGGCCTGCTGTCAATCTTGGCAGTGTACTCCTTTCTAATCTGTACTATCGCTTCTTTTAAAATAAAGTTTCCTTGCTCCTTTCACAAGGAAAGGGCTCTGTGTGAGTCTTTCAGTTCCTTGAATAAGAGTCCAGGAACCTGGAAACACTTGGACCCACACCTTAATCACTGTGATGTCCATATTAGCAATCTACTTACAATGGCCTACAGTTAAGAGTTCTACCTTACTGGGAGACAGAAACAGACAGATCTCTGGGTTCCAGGCCAGCCTGGTCTACATAGCAAGTTCCAGGCCAGTTGGGGCTACAGGGAGACCGTCTCAAAAAGACCCCCACAAAAAAGAAGAGTTCCACTTTACATAAAATCATGACCAAAATCTTTTAAGGTAAATTTTGTAGAGGAATAAGAGCTACATGAAAACAAATTTGAACAATCTTATTTTACTTAGCTTGGCAATGCAATTCATTATAATAAATACAGCTCTAAAAATGTTATCTAAGAAAAAAGTGTCTAAATGTATCATGAATGCAGAATTCCATTTAAACAAGTGACTTAAATAGAGCTTCCATTCGCTGTGAATCATGATTTAAAATTTTGGGTACAAAAACATTTCAGTTCCGGCCCACTACGCCAACTGAAATGAGACCGGACAGCTGAGGTCACCTGACCCAGTCTCCCAGCTACAGAGATGAGGAATCCTTGGGCCTTGTCAAAGATGACAAACTCATCGGAGACAGAGCCTTGGTCACTAGCCAGCTCTCAGAGGTGCTCTGGAAGTGTCTGGACTATGTAAGGCTCAGATAGACACAGAACTCCAGTCATATTTGAAAGACCTTGGGCTTGCTTTCTGCTTAACATGGGACAAATTCCTGGTATTTCTCTTGTAGTTCAGAGACTTTCTCAGCTGCTTTAAAACCCAAACCACTACTTTTCTACAGCTTATCGCCGATCACTAACTGCCAGTCTGAGTATACTCTTCTCTCTTGGAGTGTCTGAACCTGAACTTTTCTTCCTGCCCCTTTGTGCTCACAGAAGACCTCCATCAAGGGTTTCTGCTCTTGTATGAAGTTCAGCAGCAGCAAAGTTTATGTGTTCTCTAACACCATCAACACAAGCAACAGGACACTTTCTCTTTGCAGCTCATCCCCATTTGATGTACTCTGACCTGTTCATCCAGATAGTCCCTTTGCTTTGCAATGCAGTATAGATTTTTAGGGCACTGAACAGCAATGAGATTTCTTATCATATCAAAAACATGCTGGGCTGGGGATGTAGTCCAGCTGTGAAGCCCTTGCCCCAGGTTCAGTCTCTAGTACCCATGACCTTCCCAGCCCCCACCAAAGGGAAAAAAGTGCCATATAATGTACTGCACATGCCTAGCATCCTTTAACATACTATGTCTCAGCCTAATGGTTCCACAGAACCATAAGTTGCTCACTGGTTAAAAGAGCCAATCTGCTTATGTTTTAACTTAAACTTCCATGAGTGGGTGCAGCACACTTACTGGCTATTTTCTAACTGTAAAAGCCAAACCCCAATCTGTTAGACACCTGTGCACAATCAAAACTGGATACAGGCACAGCAAAAGTGCTTATAAAGGGGATCATCCCATTTTCACAAGTCTCACGGCCTGCTCTTCTCAGCATTGCAGCGAAGGAGACAACATGTAGTTCCTTCCTCTGCCATCCCTCAAACATTTGCTTACAGAGCCAGCCTCAAGCTCTTTCTCTGTTGAGATGCTTCACCTAATAAGACCAGTGACATAAGGCTGGGACTTTCATCACTACCAGCAGCCAGAAAGACTTGATGTAACTCTTGTCTGAAATGCAATTTCATTAGCCATTTCAAGAAATAAAGACCCAGATACAGAAATGTTTGTTCTGTATGGCAAAATCATCCTTGAATTTCAGGTGCATCTCACTTCTCTCACTGTAGCTAAATTCACTTCCTTCTGTTGTTTTTCTTTTCATATTTTTCTGACAGAAGGGACTGTTTCTGACTTTCCTTCCTTATCCACTAACTGGCAACTACAGAGAAACCGTGGCTTCACAATCAAACACCATGACTGAACTTTGTGCATGAAGTGTAACAGAAATGAACAAGAACACTCAATAGTGGCAAGGCTGCAGGAAGCGGCTGGTGAGAGAGCACAGCACTGACAAAGCCACAGACTTAAGTCAGAACAAAGCAGATGACACACATTTCAATCATCTTAATAACTAAGTCAAAAATACAATCTTTTGAAAGAAAGAACTCTAGGACCAAGGTAGATGTTGTTTTAGGGTACTGAATTAGGGTTAAGATATACACAGGACACAACCACGAGGAAGAAGAACCACTGACTTAGATTTTCCCTTAAGTTCAGATGGACGATTAGGAATCCTTCCAATTTCAAACCTGAAATCCAGGTCTGACACATCATGGGCTCACTGCTGAGGATGAGCTCACTAGTGGATGAAAAGATCCACACACAAACGGAGTTCCAAGCCACCAAACAGCTGTCCTGTGGCGAAGCTGGAGCTCTGACACTTGGTATGTCCGACTGGATTCATCCTGGTGTTCAAGGGCTGGGTCCCTGAAGGCTTCTTCAGCACCTGATTACTTCTTTGTTGGCCGAAGGTGCTGAGACTGTCTCTCCACACATGAACTGATCCTAAGACAGAAGACGCAATGCCATTAGCCTCCGGGTTTCAGTGTCACAAAGGCATTCATATCACTACTTTCACTTTTTAAAAAAAATTTTTTTTGCCCGGCATAGTTGCACATGCCTGTAATCCCAACACTTGGGAGGCAGAGGCAGGCGGATCTTTGTGAGTTTGAGAACAGCTTGGTCTACATAGTTCCAGGACTACAGGGGAGACCCTGAATCAAAAAGACAACAACAACAAAAAAATTATTTTTATTATTTTTATTTTATGTGTATGAGTGTATTGCCTGCACGTAGGTAAGTGCACCTGTGTCATGCAATGCCTGCAGGCTGTCGGATCCCCTGGAACTGGAGTTATGGAGAGTTGTTAGCTGCCATGTGGGTGCTGGGATTCGAACCTGGGTCTTCTGTAAGAACGATCAGTGTTTTTTAATCGCTGAGCCATCTCCCCAGCCCCTACTTTCACTTTGTTACAGAATCGCTCCAACTAGTAGGTTTTCTATTGCTGCATCATTTTTATTTTTGATGAAAGAGCCAATGTCAACACTAGAATTAGAATATTAAAAGTATTTTGGAATTAGGTTGAGCATGGTGGTGGCACATGCCTTTAATCCCAGCACTTGGGAAGCAGAGGCAGGCGGAGAGTTCAAGGCTAGTCTGGTCTACGTAGAAAGTTCAAGATCAGCTGGGGCTACAGGGAGACCCTGTCTCAAAAAAACCAAAAAAAAAAAAAAAGTATGTTGGCATTTAGTCCTGAATTCATTATTTAGTAAAATAAACATGCCCATCTTTGTTAGACAGCAACCACTTCCTGGAAAGACACAAAGGCATGTCACATCTTTTAAATTTCTACATTAATCAGTTCAATATTTGGTCACTTGAACTAAAAATGGGTCTTTGTGTTCTCCTAACACATATCTGCAATGCTAACTATTTTGTAAATGAAGTTCAGTCTCTGATCTTTTATCCTGGTTTATGTTAGCTGCCACAAGAACTCTTTTTTCTTTTCCTTTTTTTTTTAGAAACTATGTAGACCAGGCTGGCCTTGATCTCACAGAGCTCTGCCTCTGCCTCCCAAGTACTGCGCTGAAGGCATGCTCCACCATGCCCAGCTCCATGCCCAGCTTAAGATGCACCATGCAGGCTGCATTTTCTTGTTTAAGATTTAATTCCTTGTTGCAGTTTTACAATGTCAATGCTGGTCTTTAGTTTCCTATTTACTTTCACCCAAGGATGGCAACAGAAAAAGGCTAAAGTTTGGTTAGTGCTTTGGAATTTTAACAGAGCTTAACAGTCTTAAGGATGAACTCGACAGTCTTAAGGATGAACTCCATAGGAAAAGTGGAGCTGAAGCACAGAGCCTCATGAGAAGCAGACTTTAAGTTAGGAAATAACATAGAAATTTAATGATTCATCCTTGCAGGAAAATGTTCTCTGGAGCAAAGACCAAACAGGGTACTGGTGGTCAGGGAGGAGGCTGTGGTTTTAAATGAGATGACCATGACATAACTTTGGAAAGGCCTTCTCAAGTCAAGACTAGAAGTTGGTAAGGGAATAAGCCTTGTTCGTATGATAGGTAAAAGAGCTGGGCAAAGAAACTATTCAGTGAAGATGTCCCTAAGGCAGGAGGAGCAAGCCTGATTTTGTCAGAAAAAGGACTTTGGCTTTTGCTGTAAATGATCTAGGGAATCACTGAAGAAATTAAAAAAAAAACAGGATTGGGGCCGGGCGTGGTGGTGCACGCCTTTAATCCCAGCACTCGGGAGGTAGAGGCAGGCAGATCTCTGTGAGTTCAAGGCCAGCCTGGTCTACATAGTGAGTTCCAGGACAGCTGGGGCTACAGGAGACCCTGTCTCAAAAAGACCCCCGCCCCCCAAAAAAGATTGGGATGTTCCCACCTGAGTTTTAAAAGAACAACTCTGGCTGCTGTGTTCAGAGTAGACCGAGAGAGCGAGGAAAGAGACAGGAAGCCAAGCAGGCTGTTCATTAGTCAGAACAAGAAGTGGTGGTTTGTACCAGGCTCCAGCATGGAGGCAGTGGTTGACTCCAGTTACACTTTACAGGATAAGGATTTCCTTACCTGTTGGATAGAGAGCTCAAGAAGAGCTGAGGTCATGTCAACATTTGCAGCCTTAACTGGAAGGATGAAGTTAGCCATCAACTGAGGGGAGGTAACTGTAGATGTAGAGATGGGACTTGGATGTACAAAGGCAAGTTTGAGAGGTCTGTCTGTCATCTGTGCAGAGTGGTCAAGAAGGCAATTGGATGTGCATGTCTGGATTTGGAAAAAGCAATCAGCTGGCAGTGTCAGTTTGGGAGTTGTAGTAGGTAGCTTTTAGCAGACAGAAGACTGATTGACAGGTCCCCAGAGCTTTGAGTATAGAGGTGGACAACATAAAGGTGGCAGCAGAAGGTCCATTGAGGTGCTTCAGTCTGCAAAGGTGGCTAAAAGGGAGTGACCACTACAGAAAGTCAAGTCACCAGTGGGAGCCAGCTGAGGAAGGGTAGAGGACATAGTGATCCTTGTCAAGTGCCACTGACAGAAAGAAACTGAGAGCTGGCCATTGCTTTGTCACCATAGAATTCACTTGTGATGATGAGACAGTTTCAGTGGAGAACCAGGGACAACATGATTAGAGACACCTGATGGGAGGAATGCTGGTTGGAGAGAATAGAAGAGCAGGAGGCAGAAAGTATAGGCCTTTCTTTCATGGAGTTTGCTGGGAAGGGGAGTTGACAGTAATTGCTAGGGATATAGGATTTAAGAGGGATTGAAGATCACAGACACTTAGCTCTGAATGTAGACACTGGAAGTTAGCTTTAACCAGGGTTGTGGTTTTTCTGAGTAAATAGGAAGAAGTGAGAAGAGTGGTTATGATCACTGACTGTGGAATTTGAGCCAGGTAAAGAGAATGAAGAGGAGGAGGATGTGGAAGAGGTAGAAGGAGAACAAGGTAGTCAGAGGGTTGGAGCGGATCATGTCTACAGATTTTATGCATTAACAGGTAAACAATAAAATACAACTGTTCCCTTCAAAATGTGTCCTAGAGTTTTGAAAAAAACTACATAATAAGTGTAGAAGAAATAAAAGAAAAAACATCAACTAAACTTCATAATTTTTCTTCCTAACCAATTTTCATCACTGTAGCCTTTCCAAAGTTAAACCAACCTACATTAATTTGAACTTAAAATTTTTTTTTTGTTATTTTTATGTGTAGGTGTGTATTGTCTGCATGTAGGTAAGTGCACCGTGTCATGCAATGCCGGAGGAGGACAGAAGAGGCTGTTGGATCCCCTGGAACTGGAGTTACAGACAGTTGTTAGCTGCCATGTGGGTGCTGGGATTCAAACCCGGGTCTTATGCAAGAACAGCCAGTGTTCTTAACCGGAGAAGCCATCTCTCCAGCCCCCATAATTTGAACTTTAAACAATTTTATTATTCAGTTACATATTGACAATTTTTTAAAAGATTTCATTATTTTTATTTTATGTGTAAGGGTGTATTGCCTGCATGTATGTGAATGCACCCGTGTTGTGCAATGCCAGAGGTCAGAAGAGGGTTTCAGATTCCCCTGGAACTGGGCTTAAGTCGTAGCTGCCATGTGGGTGCTGGGAATCAAACCAGGATCCTCTGCAAGGGCAGTCAGTGCTCTTTTAACAACTGAGCCATCTCTCCAGCCCCTTATTGATAATTTTTAAAGCTATTTATTGATTGATTGATTGATTGGTTGGTTGGTCTTTTTGAGACAGGGCCTCCCTGTAGTCCCAGTTGGCCTAGAACTCACTAACAGACCAGGCAGGCCTTGAACTCAAGAGATCCTCCTGCCTCTGCCTCCCCAGTGCTGAGATTAAAGGTTAAAAGCTTTTTAAATATAGCACTTGTCGTAGCACACAGTTAAGAAAAGCTCTTCTGTACGTTCATACCACAGACAGGCTGCTGGAGGTCCTTGTCATTTACCCCAACCCCCCCCTCCCTTTAAATGTTTCCCCTTACTTTGTCATAAATCACTTTTATAATGAGAGAGCAGCTGGGACACGTTGCCACGTCTTCCCCATTCTCCAAATCTTCCTACAACGAAATCAAACAACGTACGGTCAGCACAACCCCCCCTTCAAAATTCTCCCACCAAGTCCCTGGGGAAGAAAAATCCGAGCCCCCTGCTCCAAAGAAGTCCCTAGGAAGTGACTTTAAGGGTGGGGCTGGGGACCCCGGCGCTCCGGGCCATCCATCCCCGGTCGGACTGAGGACCAGAACCGGGCACCCACCAAAAGCTGGCGCGGCTACTTTATTGGGGGAGGGGTTTCGGGGGAGCATGTGGGTGACTGAGCAGCGCCAGGAACACTGGGAACGTATGTGCGCGTGCTTTGTGAGTCCCCGGCGACCTTAAGGTTACCTTGGTGATGGAGAAGTTATCCCCACACGGGCAGGGGTAGAAATACGTCTCCGAGTCCTCGTCATATTGGAAGTCCTCGATCTCCACCTCGTCGTGAAATACCGCCATGGTCACCCGGTTCCCCGCAGTCCTTCGAGGCGGTCCTCGGCTGTCTAGTTCCGCCGGAGCAGGCCGGCCCGGACATCGTCGCCCGCCCAGGAGCAGAAGCTGCTATTTCCGGCGCATAGGCAATGACGCAACTCCGGCCGCAGCGGCCAAATGGGTGACCCTGTCGCGGTCGCCATGGAAATAGCCGAGCGAGGGGCGGAGTCACTGGCAAGATGGCGTCTTCAGCGCTGCATTGCCCCGCCCACCTGACGGCAGCGACCAATAGAGCGTGGGGCTCACTCGCGCCGCTGCTACGCCACGCCCGGGCCGCGGAATTTTGCCCCCGGCTGGAATGGGGTGCTTGGGCAGCCCGGGGTCTCCGCTGCGACGACTGTAGAGAAGCCTTGGGGAACCGGCTGACCTCTGGAACGCCGGTCTGAGGAGGGGCCCCGCGTCAGCGTCATCCCGGCGGTCCGCGGTGGTCCAAGCACAGTTCTCCCGGAACTGTGCTTCACCTGGCGACCTTGAACTCTGGGTGACGCCTGGCCTGTGGGATAGCTCCTGCCTGCAGATACACCCCCGTTCTGCCTCACCCCAGGCTTCAGATGCTCCAAGTTGTGCTGTACCAAGGACCGAGAGCTGCAAGGCAGGGACGGAGCTCGAGCCACATTTCCAGTGCTCACTGTTGAGGTAGCAGGAATAGCATCTCTTCTGATTATTGGGTTTGGCCATGTGCGCCAAGTGTCCTCCTGTTAACTCTGGCGGTTTAAATTCCATCTTGTGCAACCTAACTGAGGTGCAGAAAGTAGGCGTCTTGACTTCGATTTACCTACCTAGGGCATAAAAGAGTCTGGCTGTTTCCAAAGCTCAGGAACAAGTAACTCAAGTGAACTCTTGTTCTTCGTAAAAGAAATGGTGCAGGTGGCAGCGTTAACGTCATGCAGCTTCTACCTTAAAGCTGGAAGTGTAATGCCGAAAGAAAGGTAGTTTGTCTTGAGCAGTGCTAGTCCAGTTTTGAGGACAGCGGGGGACCACGGAGCATTGCTGTTTTACCAGGAGGGCAGTGTGGTTGAAAAAAGCACCATATTAGGTCTTGGCTCAGAATCTGACTCGATGGGCTCTGGGAGTTAAAGATTCCCATTCTTTGGTTTTTAATTTACTCTTCTGAGGAAAGATCCCTTTGACATCTAACATTTTTTTCGGGGGGGGGAGCTGAAAATTATGTTACTTCAGCAACCATATATAACTTACACAGTTTACATTTCTATAACCTGTATAGTTAGTGCTTAAGTACACATAGGAATTAGCAAATACTAATTTTGTCCACATTGAGAGGACACACCACCTTGTAGCCTTTTTAAAGTTTGAAAATAGGGCTGGAATGATGGCTCAGTGTTTAAGGGCATTGGCTGACCTTGTAGAGGACCTAGTTTGGGATCCCAGCACCCACATAACAGCTAACAACCATTCATAACTTCAATTCCACAGGATCTGACGCCTTCTTTTGGCCACTAAGGGCATTGCACAACACAGGTGCACTTACATACATGAATGTACACAAAATTAATTAAATTTAAAAGGTTTTGAAGTTGGAAAACCTAAAGGTAGAGAAGTATTAGGGAGGGAAAATTCAGAAGTTGCATTAAAAGAGTTTATAGAAGGTTGTTTCAAAGGCTTCACATGCTTTTTTGGGGGGCATAATGGGAAATCCACACAGCAATTAGGAAATATTCATAACTTATTGAAGGTTAATTGTGGCTTGTCTGGGCAAAGTAGAAATCCCATCAAAGGCCACATAGTTCAGTGGCTGTTGCGTGTATCTTTGCAGACACAGATACTTTCCAGGTAGGCTTCGGAACATGGAGGAAAACGAGATTGCCCAGTGTCTTTTCAGTTCAGATGATCATGGTTGAGAATGCCTTTAGTTCTTCTATGAGCCGTTCTTGAATGTTCAGAAATGGATGCAGTCAGGGCTGTGGAGATGGCTTGGTTGGTAAAGTGCATGCATCTGTAATTCCAGCACTGGAGAGGGGGATGGACAGAGACAGGTGGGGGAGCCTGAGAGCCTGGAGCTCAGTGATGAACCATTTCAGCCAACTGGTGAGCTCCAGGTTCAGTGAGAGACCCTGTCTCAAAAAATAAGGTAGAGAATGACTGAGGAAGACACCTCATATGGCCCTCTGTGGTGGTTTGAATGAGAAGTGGCCCCAATGGGCTCAAATGTTTGAACATTTTGTTAGGTGGTGGCACTGTTTGGGGAGGGTCATGGAACCTTTAGGAGATATGGCCTCTCTGGAGGAAGTATGTCACTGGGGGCGGGCTTTGAAAGTTCATAGCCTTGCCCCACTTCCTATGTTGCTTTCTCTGCTTCCTGTTTGTGCTTTGAGATGAGATGTGAGGACTAATTTTTTGCTCTGGCTGCCTCCTGCCCTGAGGTACTCTTATCCCTCTAGAACCATTGCCTAATAAGGTCTTCCTTCTGTCTTGGTCATAGTGTTTTATCATAGCAACAGAAGTAACTAATACACCCTCTGACTTGCATGTGTACACACTCATGCAGATTGAATGCAGTCAGATTTGGCTCATAGCTAAGTATAAATTGTTAGGTCATTTATTAAAAAACAAACTTTAAAAACTGATACTGACGCTCAAGCCTTAGACCTCATGCATGCTAGGCTAATGCTTTACCAGTTAAGCTACACTCCAAGTCTTGATAGACTTTTTAAAAAGAAAGAAATTCAGACCCATCAAAAGTAATTTGGGGGTGTCTTAAAATCTGGTTAGGGGTTGGCGATATGGCTCAGTAGTTAAGAGCGCTGGCTACTCTTGCAGAGGACCCAGGTTTGATTCCCTGCGTCCGCAGCTGGCTAACAGTCTGTAACTCCAGTTCCATGGGTTCCAATGCCCTTCTGACCTCTAAGGCATTGCGCAACATGGATGCACTTACGTACATGTAGGCAATATACTCACATAAAATAAAAAATAAATATTTTTAAAAATTGAAGTTAATAAAGCTACAAGGTGAAGGGGAGTGCAATTAGCTTGTCTTTGTAATTCCCCAACTTTTGTTTTCTTTTTAAATATTTTATTATTTTTATATTATGTGTATGAGTGTCTTGCCTGCAAGTTTAGCACATATGTGCAGTGCCCACAGAGGCCAGAAGGGGGCATTGGATCCCCTGGAATTGGAGTTTTGGATGGTTGCTAGCTGCCATGTGGGTGCTGGGAACTGAACCCAGGTCCTCTGGAAGAACAGCAAGTACTCTTAACCACTGAGCCATCTCTCCAGGCTTCCCATCCCCACTTTGCTTTGAGTACATATTACCTAAAATAGAAAAAGAAAACTGATGAGTTGTTTATTAATGATGGTTGATACCATCATTACTCAATACTGTGCAAATTCTTTATGTGCATTATGTCATTAGGACAACCCAGTGAGATACAGATGAGGTAATCTTTAGTATTGGGAAACTTTAGCTTTAGGGGCTGAGGAATTTGCTCAGGCAAAGCTGGTAAGTTGTAACAAGCTCTGGTGCCCACTTGGATCTATTTGATCCTAGAACTTAAGCTCTTAATGACCTGCTCTTCCTTGTAGGATTGATCCAGAGCTTCAGGTAGAGAGAGGAAACAAGCCCAGGCTGTTGCCACAGCATGACAGACTCCTTTGAGACTAGATTCGGAGCACTGTCTAGGCCTTCCTACTCCATCCTACCATTTGTTGGCCCTTGTTTCTGGCCACAGGTGGGTCCTCTTACAATTCTGCCTTGTAGCAGTGCTGAAAACAGTAAATCCAGAAAGCTTATGCTGTACATTGTTTTTTTGTTTTGCTTTTTGTTTTCGTTTTGATCTTTTTGAGACAGGTCTCTCTCTGTAGCTTCAGCTGGCCTGAAACTCACTATGTAGACCAGGCTGGCCTCAATCTCACAGAGCCCCGCCTGACTTTGCCTCCAAGTGCTAGAATTAAAGATATGTACCACCATGCCTGGCCTATAGTGTAGATTTTTAAACTTGCTTAGTACTTTAAAGAAGATGTTAAAATGATGATTGAACTTTAGTTTTATTCCTAAAAAGGAACAGAAATACGTGTAATGACACTTTGGCCCTTGAGACTGACAAAAGCAGATTTACTAGTAGCTACAGACTCATTTGAGATCACGTTCATTTTATTGTTATTGTAAATGCTAACACTTTATTTGGAAAGTAACAGTGACCAACGTTCTTAACATAAGATCAGACTTAGAACTAGGTCATAATTGTATTGTAGGAACTATATTTGATGAGCACTGTTGAATCTCAGACAAGGGGGAGGTTTTTATTGGCACTATGAAGCCAGTACCTTCTTAAGCTGTTTGGCAAGGAGAGAGGCTTAACCCTCTCTTTTCAGGTGCTTCAACAGCATTTTATTTCTTCCTCTCAGCAGTGCAGTGAGTCAGTGTGCAAGGTATGAAACGGTAAAAGGTAACTTGCCCGAGATTAAACAACAGAAGTCACACTTGAACCCTAGTTTCACTAATTCCAAGTCACAGACTGTGTATGCCCCTTATATACCACTGAGGCTGTCCTACGAAGCCCCGGGAGCCCGTTGCTCCCTCAGGGACACTGATTCTAACTTAACAGTTCCCGTGGTTGTTCTTCAGTTTTGCTCCTTTTCAAGAATGACCTTTCTTTGAGGCACTCTTGTTTTTCCTTTCTCACTTGGCGTCTCATGCCCATCCAGCCTATCAGCAAGTAGAGAGCACTGATTCCCAAATACAGTCTGTGCTTTCAACGTCTCCCATCTGTGGCTGCTACTCTTTGAGCTTAGACTGAAGTCTCCTAACTTGATTTCCTGCTTCAGCCTGGGCCATCATTTAAAAATGTGCATTAGGTTGTGTCCTTGTCCTGATTTATCCTCTTCAGTTGCTTCCCAGTGCCCTCTGGGTAGAGTTCATTCCCTTACCATGGCCTGCTGTGCTCCAGGACACACCTTACACAGCTTCCTAGTGTTCACCCAGCTCACTGTTCTCCTGTCACTCAGCCTTGCCTCTTCTAGCTCTGTTTCTGGTTGCAGCTCTGCTGTTGCCAGACTTTGCTTCAGTGCTGTCCCCTTCATATTTGCCTGGCTGCCTCTTCTGGGTCTGCTCTCTGCTCAGGTGCCATCACCGCAAGATGCTTTTCCCAGCGCTCCCCTCTTCCTCACTCCCACCTTTCATGTGCATCATCAGTAACCATCCCTTGTTGTTACCTATCTTTCATGCTACCTTGAAGGTTTCATGATGCAAGTGTGTTGTAAGTGGTTCCTTACTGTGTCTCTAGGGCCTGATGTATAAAGTAGTGCTTGGTGCCCTTGGAATTGTTGAACCACCTAGTGTAGTTGTTGAACTGAGCCCAGTGTAATTAATTACTACTTCAGTAATGATATCAGTTTTATCCAGCATTTAGTATAATTTTTCTGTTTGTTAAAGTAGAGCTTGTAAGGATGCAGACATTCGCAGAATATTTACTTAGTACATGTCGATCTGCTCTGGCCATTTATTGGGAGGGGCCCACTGTGGTACACATGTAGAGGTCATAGGACAACTTTCAAGATTCAGTTCTCTCCTTCCACTATGTGAGTGCTGGGGACAAAACTCAGGTCCTCAAGATTGACAGCAGGCAACTTTATCTGGTGAACCATCCTGCCAGCTTGTGATTTTAAAAAAAAACAACCAAAAACTTCAAAGCCTGGTGTAAAGCCCCTAAGGTCCATTATTTATCAGTAGGTGGCGCTTAGTCATGATTACTGCCACAGAGTTAGATTTTTTTAAAGAGAACAGCTTTTAATAGTTAATATTCCTTTGTTTTTCAGTTAAATTGAGAGCAGACCATTTAAACAGCAGAGTCACAAGGATGCATTCTATTGTAAAGACATTTATTTTAGCAGTAGTTGTCGGATGATACTAGTGGAGCAGTATGTTCACGTTTCACTATGTGGCAGCTGAATTTAACAGTGAACTTGTAGCTGTGGCCTTCCAGCCTTTGTGGTTTTACTGTCTTCAGCACAGTACCAGCTCAAGCTGGCAGAACCATAGGGGAACCACCTGTGGCCAGACAGAGGCTGGCTGGTCACAGATATCAGGAGTGTGGCATTCCGTGGGGTAGCGACTGAAGCTGCAGGAGCTGACACACGCCACGGAAGAGCAAGAAGAGGCATAAAGAGAAATGGCCACACGAGGGGGAGAACTGATGGGGAGGGAGTGATTGAGCGTGGGCTTGCTGTGGGGATCTGCTGATTACCATGAATTCACCCCACGGGGTGGAACTACAAGGGCTACAGGTCAAACTCAGAGCCTTGTGTCTGTGCCAAACGAGCTGCACAGAGCTGCACACCCTTTACTCTTAAGTGAACCCTTTTTGCAGCTAAGACTTAATGGGGCTTTTTCTCAGCTTCCTGCCATTGTGTTCACGTATTGTCTCTGCCATTGTAGGACATTTATGAGCATTTTGGTGTATGGAAAAACTCTCCATGTTCCAACCAGTGTGTATCCAGAGGTTTTAAATAAAATTATGTGTCAACCAGCCCACTATACACCGAATGACTCAGAGTCTCATGGATTTCTAAAGTAAGTTTGCTCGCTTTCTTACAGGGATGAATACAGTTTTTGGTCTAGCACATTTAAAGGGGAGAAACTACCTTAGTCTTGTGTGAAGTGACAGAGGCCTTACATGTTATTCACAGTGATGCTGCATTGTACTGTGGCAAGAGGAAATCTGTTTTTAATAAGCATTCTTAGGAAGCAGTGGGCTTTTTGATACATCATGATTATAATCAAATAAACACAGTCTGACTTACATCACCGCCTGATTTAGTTTTACTTTTTGCCCCCGTGAAACTTTCTTCATGCCTGCACCACTGGAACTCAGGCCAGTGCCTGCTTTCTCCCAAGCCCTTAATAATCATAATGATGATAATAATAATTATTATTTTTATTATTTTTATTTTATGTGTATGAGTGTATTGCCTGCATGTATGTGAGTGCACCTGTGTCGTGCAAATGCCACAGAGGTCAGAAGAGGGCTTCGGATTCCCTTGGGACTGGAGTTAAGGACGGTTCGTAGCCACCATATGGGTGTTGGGAATCAAACTGGGGTCTCTGCAAGAGCAGTCAGTGCTCTTAACCGCTGAGCCATCTCTCCAGCCCCATATTATCATTATTTTTTAAAGATGTATTTATTTTTTAATTATGTGTATGTACATGTGAGTGAGAGTGCCCAGAGGCTTTAGTAATTGGCTTGAACACACTCCTAACTCTAAAGTCATTATAACTAATTTATGTAGTGTCTTCTGAAACGCCTAGGCCAGGGGTGTTCACATTCCATTCTCCAGGTGGCTAAGATGAGAACAGACTGATAGGGTTAATGTGGGCAAGAAATCTCTACAGCCTGGAGAAGAAAATGATATGGGGCCAAATGGTCATTTAGCCCTCAGTGCTTTACCTGGTAACCCTGTTGTTTAAGAAGTAATATCAGCTGGGTGTGGTGATACATGCCTTTAGTCCCAGCATTCAGGAGGCAGAGGCAGGTGGATCTTTGTGATATTGAAACCAGCCTGGTCTACATAGCAAGTTCCAGGCCAGCTGGTGCTACAGGAAATCCTGTCTAAAATATAAAAATATTAAAAAATAAATAATAAATAAGTAAATAAATAAAGTGATGCTGGGTGTTGAAGCATGTTTGTAATCCCAGCATTCTAGGCTGAGGCAGGAGGCCCCCAGGTTCAAGGCCAGCCCAGGCACCTCAGTGAGCTTATCTCACAAAATCAAAAAGAAAAAAATCAGAGTGTCGGAGAGCTTCTCTGTTTTGTTTTCTTTTATTGAAGTACAACATGTGAACGGTAAAGTGTGTGACACATAAGAGCATGGCTTGATGATGATTTTTTATAACCTTCCTTTTTCTTTTTTTTTTTAAAACAGGGTCTCACTCTTAGCCATGGATGTCCTGGAACTTGCTATATAGACCAGGCTGGCCTCAGATTCACAGGGATCCACCTGCCACTGCTTCCCAAGTGCTGGGATTAAAGGTGTGCACCACTATATCCAGAATTGAATTTTTTTTTTTTTTTTTTTTTTTGGTCTTTTTTGAGACAGGGTCTTCCTGTAGCCCTAGCTGTCCTGGAACTCGCTATGTAGACCAGGCTGGCCTTGAACTCACAGAGATCTGCCTGCCTCTGCCTCCTGAGTGCTGGGATTAAAGGCTTGTGCCACCACGCCCAGCTCAGCATTGAATTTTCACAAAACAGAAATGCCAAAGCACTTGGCACCAGATAAAGCAGCTGTACTGTCAGCAGCCACTTCCCAAGAGACTGCTAACTTGATCTCTAACCCAGATTAGTTTTGCTCATCTTTGCACTTTATGTGGTTGGGATCAAAGAATATGGAGTCCAACTGCTTTCATGCAATGTGCTGTCTGTCTGCAGTGTTGAGTTGTATGATGTGTGTTGTTTTTTGTGAACCTTAAGCTTTTTACACTTGGCAACCCCAGTAAATCTGTCTGCCCCTTGCACTTTATCCAACAAAACATTTTGAAGACCTAGGGCTGTTTGGGTAGAATAAAATTATCAGGCAGCTTTAACAGCTGTGCCCTTGTACGGCAGTGTAAGATTAGTCATGCCAACTAGTTAGAGATTTTGGAAAACAAGAGAACACATATATAGTCATATGATGCATAATGACATTTCAGTCCACAAAGGGCTGTGTAGACATCCGTAAGATAATAGTGGAGTTTAAAAAGTTCCCATCATGTAGTGACCGTAGCCATCATAGTATTACAGCACAACTCAGTTCACAGCTGTGTCAGTATGAGCAAGTCACTGCATAAAAATGGCATGTATAATTTTGTGTAGTGTATAATCTTTGATAATAAGTGGCCATATTACTGATCTCTAAGTTTACCTCACTTTATCATTATTTTAAGGTATCTTTCTTTTACTTCCAAGATAAAGTTTTGGGCTAGTAAGATGGCTCAGTGGATAAAAGTGTTTGCTGCACAAACTGACAAACTGAGTTCAATCCCCAGAACCCATGGTGGAAGGAGAGAACTGACTCTCCCAAAAGCTTCTCTAATCTCCACATGCATATTGTGGCATGTGTGTCTCTCTCTCTCTCTCTCTCTCTCCCTCCCTCCCTCCCTCCCTCTCTCTCAGAGAGAGACGGAGGGAGAGAATAATAATAAATTGAAAAAAGAGAATTAAAACCCAAAGCTTTCCTGTTTGCAGTGTCTCTTGGTTGCATCCAGAGGCCATGTCCAGTAATTAACTGACATCATCTACTTACAGCATTGTGCAAGTACTCCCTATGATACCCACACAATGACAGAATCACCCAATGAAGCAGTTCTCAGAACGTGTTCCCCTTGCCCTTGTTATCGACACATCACTGTATTTGATAGCATTAGTTTCATGCTTATATACTGTGCAGATATGTTGGATCAGCTCTGAGCAGTGGTAGAAATTTTGCTAGGTGAAATTAGGCCTTTGTTTGTTTTGGTGGCTGACCACCAACAAAATCACCAACAAAAATCCAAACTCTTTCATCTACCCCTAAAATAGTCTGGCGTTTCCTACTTTCTCTGAAAATGGTTTTAAATTTCAGTTACATTTGCCCAGGAAGTACCATGGCCCTGGCTATATTGACTCCTGGGTGGTTGCGAAGTTCTGTGGAAGCCATCTGCACTCAGGCAGTTTCTTGGAGGTTGACAACCAGCACTTTGCGTCACCTTATGCTGACCAGGTGAGTGGTTAGCCTTCAGTGTGTTTGGATTCATTCTTAGACACTTGATGTGTAGGTAAGGTGGGAGGCCATCAAATTGAAGAGGCAACACCGAGCTTTACGCTGTAGGCCACCAGACCCTTAAACTACATGTACAGCTTAGCATTGGCAAATTTTCAGCAGTTTTGTAGGGTACATAATTAAATCTTAGATAGCCATGATATTATGTTTCAGGGGAAACTAGTTTTATTATTATTTTATGTGATAAATTTAATAACCCAATTTTACCTTTTTTTTAAAAAGCATAATGAGATCCCAAAAGAAAAGTGATCACTTGGAGAGAACTGCGAGTGTCCTTCGACGGGAGGTTTGTATCTGTGGGCTGTGGCAGGTTCTCATGGCTAGGCCCTACACACAGACTGGCTTAGAGGAGCAGCATTGTGTGAGGCTGGTCCATTTGAAGGACGGTCAGGGAAATTTTATTTTTCTGTTCTGAACTTTTCTGAGTAGGACATATGACTTGACAAAAAAAAAAGTCAGAACGCTCATGTTTCTCCTTCTGCTTGTAGTTGAAGGGAGCCCTCCTCTCAAGGTGTGTGGTGGGACAGATTTTAGAGCTAAAATTTTCAGAGCTTACAATTTATGAATGGCTTACCATTTTTTTCTTTACTTTTTTTTTTTTTTTTTTTTTTTGGTTTTTTTGGAAGGGTCCCCCCGTAGCCCCAGCTGGGCTGGAACTCACTATTTTTTTTGGTCTTTTTGAGACAGGGTCTCCCTGTAGCCCCAGCTGTCCTGGAACTCACTACGTAGACCAGGCTGGCCTTGAACTCAACGATCTGCCTGCCTCTGCCTCCCGAGTGCTAGGACTACAGGCGTGCACCACCACACCCGGCCCGTTTTTTATTTTTATTTTTTGCCACTGTGTCTCAAAGTCGTTGTGCTTTGGAACTGCCTCCTAGTTCATCAGAGCAGCACTAACATCCTAGGGGAGGGCGGCACGTTCTTGTTGCCCTTCCCATGCGCAGACTTTGTCCATCATGCTCAGGCTCTAGAAAGCTAACCTGCTGCCTGAAGGGGTGTCAAGGACTGGGAACTAAGGATCCTCACTGTTTAACTCAGTGAGTAGCAATGTTTTCACTTAAAAACGTAGAATGGATACTTGATTTTTTTTTTTAGTTGCTTCACACATATTCAGATGTATTTAATGTAGTACTGTAAGCCTCTGTTTTGATATACCCCTACAACATAATCAGAATTTGTACTGTCTCAGTAGTTGTGTGCTTTAATACAAGGAGATGGGTTAACATAAAGATGTTGTTTAGGCCCTACTTTAGCTCTACTCTTAGAAGATTGCTGTGGGACTAAGGGTGATGTGTATGTTGATTCAGCTTTAAGATGATTTTCTTTTTGAAAAGTGTGTAAAAAATTAATTCAGTGGAGTAAGTTTACAGGCATATGGGAAAATAGACTTTTCCCATTGATAGTAAATCTGAAAATACTTTTTTAAACACACAAAATGCTGATTGTGTGAAGCTTCTTAGGACTTCTTTATGAAACTGAGATCCTGCCAGTTGTGAAGAAAAAAAATTGTTTATTCAGCAAGCTTGTACTGTACTTTTTCTGTGGTATTTGGAGGCAGATAGATAAATTAGAGCCAATCTTGGCAAACTTTGTTTAAAGGTTCAGGTAGTAAATATTAGACTTCATGTGGCAGGACATTTCATTTTCAACACTGAACTGTGTCTTTGTGATGGGAGGCAGCCGTGGCAGTAGGTAAGCAAGTCAGGTTGCCTTGTCCATTGGATGTGGCTCACCAAACTCAGTTTTGGCCTGTAAATAGTAGTCCAGTCTTTGAATTAGAGTCACCAGATCTTATAGGGCAGAAGTACTAGGATTGGTGGTTCTTTTGATTCATGTTTAGGACAAAGAAAGGTTAGTAAAAAGCCTAGTAGTATGCTTGAAAAGATGAGTATTTTAATGCCTAGAAATAAAAAAATTTCAGATTTAAAATTCTGATCCAGTTTACTCTCTTGGAGGAAGATATTTATAATTTTGCTTCCCCTCCTTTATTTCTGTTTTCTGTTCTAAACAGGATGAGAACTAGGAGGAGATAGGAGGAGCTGGAGAAGGTAGCTGATCTCAGGGCCAGCACCATGTAGTATGTGACATTGAGGATCACCCCTAGCCACAGAGCAGGGGTTTGACCTTGGACTTGTTGAAATGAACAGACTGTCACGCTGGGCCATAACAGAACTGGACCAGTTCCTCAGGGCTTCACTGTCCGTCTTGCCTTTAATGTATAGAACAAGTGAGGTGTACTTTCACAACTCTCCCTGTAGAGGCTCAAGAGATGGCTCAGTGGGTAAGAGCCCTTGCCGTAACAGCAAGAGGACTACAGTTCAAATCTTCAGCACCTACATAAAAGCTGGGCATGTAACCCCAGCGTGGGGGATGGGAGACAGGCAGATCCCAGGAGCTCACTGGCCAGCCAGCCTTGCCAAAATGGCAAACTTCAAGTTCAGTGAGAGACCCTGTCTCACAAAACAAGGTGGAGAGTGATAGAGGAAGACACCCGATGTTTTCCTGTGGCTTCTCCGTGTGTGCCCAGCCGTACATACCCGCACACGCATTTGTGCATACACCACACACAAAAGATGAAAAACTCCCTGCTCTTCAGTTTCAAGTTCATGAAGTAGCCTATTGATAGACTGTCATCTGATTTTACCGAAGAGGAAGCAGAGCCTAGGAGATGTCATAGACTTGGGGCTCTCCCCCAGCCAGAGGGATACTCCAGCTCAGAATTCCTAGGCCAGAGATCCTGTTGCCACTCCCTGAGTGGGTGGAGTGGAGCAGTCACACAGAGTTGTCCTTTCAGTGTTGGTGTTGGATTCCTTCTGGAAAACTTAGGGGATGACTGTTTTGTGGTGCTAATGCTTCTGGGACTGTCAGTGTAGCCATGGGATACTGAACTTCAAATTCAGCGGCATTTCATTGTGTTTAAGTTCCATTTTTTCCTTAAGGATCAACCTTAGAAATGTCAAGAAGATAGAGCAGAAATACTGTAAGGCAGAAAGAAATGTTTAGGCAAGACCAGTGTTGTCCTGGAGGAGTGACGTGCTTTACCCTTGCAGAGGATTGACCTGCTGTTGAGCAAGCTGCACTCTGTTCATAAGTTGGGTGGGAGGGTTTGGCAATGAAAGGAAATTTGAAATTCTTCTGCATTTATTTATAATTTGGAAGTATGCCAGACACTGGGTCAGGTGCTGGGCATTGGATTGATAGGCAAGTCCTTGACTTCACATTGTACTGGGGCCCTGGTCCAGAGAAACGGATTTTATGTCCATATTTGGTACTGGGGAAGGTTTTTCACCTCTGTTAGTTTACTATTAGAAGCGTATGCCTATGCTACAGTGTCCTGTGTATATTGTGGCCTTTTTGTTCAGAGAACATTTACCTCTGAATAGGTTGGTCCCTGATTCTTCCAGACACCCTAGAAGGGAGGTGAAGGATTTGTACCCTGTTCCACAGGTGTCTGTTCCACAAACTCAGAAGTTCGCTGGGTTGGTCAGGAGGCTTGCTTGGGAGTCTGTCCATGACTTTTGCCTATAGATATCTCTTTTGACTCTCAGAACCATCTTCCTTTAAACAGTAAATCATCCTATTGGCCTAAGTTTAAGGACTTGCTCAGGTAAGTGGACGATTCTGTACTTGAACTCAGGTCTTGATAATCAAACCAGTTTTTGTCACAACAAAATAATATGGTACTCATTTTTGACAGGTACATTTTAATTGGGCATTAGGTACTAGACACAAGAAAAGGAGTTACTGATGGCATGATAGTTAATAAACTCAGAGGGCTGGGCTCTGGGCCAGATAGTCCTGGGGACTCTGGTGCCCAGTATCGACCTGTGAATCCTCCTAGTCGCTCCATCTGCCTGACGTGTGGGATGATGGGGTTTGGTTTGTTTGTTTTTGGTTTACTTTGAGAGGGTTTCTCTGTGCAATTCAGAGAAACTGAGCCTTCCAGCTCTTGGCCTTCCTGCCTCAGCTTACTCCCCCCTGCCCTCCGCCCCCTGTTGGGGTTATAGGTATACATTCCAGTGCCCAGCTTTGACTGGTAGATTGCTGAAGTGTGGGTTTGGGTTGCTTAGCTGGAGCAGGGCCTGTGTTCAGAGCTCAGCTGTTTACTTGTTTATTACCATGTGTACACACATGATACCTGTCTGGGCATGTGTACCATGGCTGTGTGAGTGGAGGGCAGAGAAGAACTTTGTAGAGTCAGTTCTCTCTCTCCTTCCACCTATGTGTGGATTGTAGGGAATCAAACTCAGTCCCAGGCTTGCTGTGATAACTGAGGAGGAAAAGGGTTATTTGGCTTACGCTTCCAGTCACAGTGCAACAAAGAGGGAAATCAGAACAGGAAGTCGGAGCAGGAACTTGGAGGCAGGAGCAGTAGGGGAGTGGCTGTGGATTCCATCTTGTCTTGCTCACAGCCTCATGCTTACCTTGCTCTCTTATACAGCCCAGGACTACCTGCCTAGGGAATGGGGCTGCCCACAGAGGGCTGGGCCCTTCTACACCCACTAAAGCAATCAGGACAATCCCTCACAGACATGTCCACAGACCAACCTGATAAATTACTCAATCAAAACTCTTTTGGGAGGCAGGGGGGGAAGAGCTCAACTTTGGAATCATTGGGTGGGTATTGGGAAGTGTATGTTTTTATCAACTTATAACTTGACTCTGGAACATGGGTACATGGGGGTCTGTTAAACTGCGTTCACCACTTAACATATGTCTAAATTTTTCTACCATAAAAAAGAGGCAGATTGGGGAGGGGAAAAAAGTCATTGTGAGCTGTGGTGAGGGAGAGAAATAATAATTGAGTTTGCAGTGGGAATTCACATAAGCAGCTGTGAGTTTAGAGTTCATTGCTGGAACTTAAGTGTGAGCCACGTAGAGAAGAGAAGGGTTGGCAGCTAGAGGCCAAGCAGAAGAGCAGGGCCCTCAGAGGGGATGGCGGAGGAGGGCGTCAGCAGTGCTGAGGCTGCCAGAGTGGAAAAGGGAGAAGGAGCAACTCTTCTGATCCAAGGTTGTCCCAAGGTTTACCAAAATAGGCAGGTAGTGGGTGACCAGAGTGGTTGGCTGAGTTGAGTTGAAGAGGGAATTGGAGGTGAGCCATTGTGACTCAACGTGATGTGAATGGGAGCGAGGGTGTGGGGGGCACCTGAAAAAGAGAGGGTTTTCTATTTTTCTTTTCTTGAGAAGCAGCGAAACCCACAAGTAGTGGATTCTGATCTCCTAATTTGCCAATTAGTAGCCCTGGGGCCTCAGCTTTCTCATGTGTAAAGTGGGAATAATAACAGT